GGCAATGTACAGCTTTCTCTGGGGCTACCAAGGCAGCGAGGATAAAAATAGGGCAAACTTTAAGAATCCCAGATATTTTCAGATAACAAAGACTGATTTATGTGGGCCCATTTTGTGCTCTGACAAAACATAGAGAAGCTTTTGTGCTGTGATTAGCAAGGGCGCTGATGTCAGTTCTCTTGTCGAGCATCAAGCTTTATTCTGTGGCTAAATTGTGCTTTGTACCATAATCCAGAGAACCTTTGTATCTGCCTTATTAGAGTGTGTAGTTTATGTAATTGCTTTTGTTTTCCAGTTTAATCTGTGCCAGATTCAATAAGAGTGACTCATTTTGTGACTGAGACAAACATTCACATTTGGACCATGTTAAAAATAAATAAATAAGTGGCAGGTGCTGTTGGCTAAATTCTGTGTTTTAATGCTGTAATTTCCTGCTGTAAGGGTTCATCTCTTATCCTCTGTAATCGCCAGTACAGCCTAGCTAGTACTCCCTGATTCTACTCCTGTTCCCCAGTGCTACTCATGTCTTGGCTATTTATTTTAGTTTCCAAGGGCCTTTTACATTTTAACAGTATCATTTCAACAGAGAAGCAAAGAAATGGCTGGGGAGCCACAGTTAACCAGAAGACAAAGAGTGACCCATAAGCTGTAGCAGAAGGACACATTCTTTTCCTTTCTTTTTGTCATTTTTTCCAAGGTGTTTTGTGCATGTGTTTTGGTAAAGCTGTCTTAGTTATGTTTATGTTATTATGTGTATGTTCAGTATCCAGGTCTTTTTCTCAAGTGGAAGAGTTTTTGAAAGCACGCCTTCTGTTCAACGTGGCCCTTGTATCTAATCTAATATTCGCAAAATTTTACAACTTCAGAGTCTTAGGGGAAATTCTCCTTATCATACAAGTATTTCTAGATACCAGGTGCTGTGTTATGCATGGAATATGTAATGACAAGTCACTATCTTTGTGGATTTTACACTCTGCCTAGGGAGTTAGATACTAAATAAATAAATACAAAGAAAATTTAAATTGCAAAATGATAATAATCCTTTAGGTAGTAAGGTACCTTATTACATGGGTAATAAGGTCCCTAAAACTGTGCTCTACTTAAATTGGGGGTCGCTGGGAAGGGAAGGCCCAAAGGTCGGAGTCCGCCTGGCAAGAGAACATACTAGACTCAGGAAATGGCATGCGCAAAGTCTCTTGAGGCAGGAAGCAGTTTGGCATCCTATTAACTGTATTATTAGAAGAGAGAAGTGACAACTGACAAGGCTAACTGTATTAAAAAGATGATAGATCAACTACGCAGGCACAGCAGTAGGGCACTATTTAGTATAGCGGCAAATAGTTGAGTAGCCTCTCAGAGCTTCCCTGAAAGTGCAGTATAGAGATTGATGCCTATAATACTTCGTCTGAGTCATTGGGGAATGGGTGGATTGTGTTCAATGAATTATGTAGTGAGGCATTGTAGAAAGATTTCGACAAGAGACATTAAAGTTTTAAAAAGTCATTTCTGCATTTAAAGACAGAATCTTTACTATCTGGAGAAATCACTTACTAAAAGATATGATTCCTTGATGGCCCTAAAGAAGTGACATAATACTATATTTCGTCTCTCTTTTCTTCTCTATTACTTTTTCAGGCTTACCGCTTGATAGAGAGGTATGGCATAACTTTACTAAGAGATGATATTTATTTATTTTGAAGTAAATAAATGTCTTACTAACTAAATGGATTTTTGTAATCCAGAAACCAGTGCTAAAGTCATGTGAATTTAACATGTTAGGATTTTTCAGTGTTCTCTAAAGCATCTAGAAGAACTTCCTACTGCCATCTCTTTCTGGACACGACTAGTTCCTCTTTGCTTGGAGTTATAGTTGGACTGAGAAGTTAATTTAAAACCTTGTTGACATTAAAGAACTACATAATATTTTTAGGCTTTTGTGATATTTCTACTAAATCTTATTGAAGGATTGCATCCAGTTTTTCCATGAAGGAATGCCTCTCCATTTAGCAATAGTTCTGCAGGTATGTTGACAGGTTTGCTGTATTATCAAATATTTTCATGTATTGTAAATATTTGCTTCATGATTAGTCAACTCCTTAAGAGTAGCGATCATGAATTACCTACTTGTAGTTCTCCCCACAGGTATTTACAATAGAATCGATAACTTATTGACTGGTTAGCTCACTGATTTACCTTTTAATGTAGCTACATTTCCTTGAATGGATACAGTTTAGAGTCTATTTTTTTATTTTTTTTTTAAAAATTTTTTTTTTTTTCAATGTTTATTTATTTTTTTTGGGACAGAGAGAGACAGAGCATGAACGGGGGAGGGGCAGAGAGAGAGGGAGACACAGAATCGGAAACAGGCTCCAGGCTCCGAGCCATCAGCCCAGAGCCTGACACGGGGCTCGAACTCACGGACCGCGAGATCGTGACCTGGCTGAAGTCGGACGCTTAACCGACTGCGCCACCCAGGCGCCCCAGTTTAGAGTCTATTAAAATGTTAAACCTAAAGTTATCGCCCAAGCTAATTCAGTTATAAGTACAGTTGTCCAGGTTTTAAGAAGGCGTTCGGGGTGTCTGGGTGGCTCAGTCGGTTAAGTGGCTGACTTTGGCTCAGGTCATGAATTCACAGTTCATGGGTTCGAGCCCCACTTCGAGCTCTGTGTTGACAGCTTAGAGCCTGGAGCCTGCTTCAGATTCTGCGTGTCTCTCTGTCCCTCCCCTGCTCATGCTCTGTCTCTTTCTGTCTCTCAAAAATAAATAAACATTAAAAAAATCTTTTTAAGAGAAAAAAAACATTCAAGGAGGATTAAGACTTAATATTGTTTCTGGGCAGAGTTGTTGGATTTAAAGACTGCTGAAGCACTGTTTCAGTCATTCAGTTCTGTTTTTATTATTTAATCAACGAGATTTTAGAGAGTAATAGTAAAAGAATTTTAGGCCTGTTGAGGCATAGTATGAAACCCGTAATTGACCAAAATTTGTGGAGGAAGTACATGGTGAGTATAGATCTAGATTGCTAGTATATGTTTGTTGGGAAGAAAAGGGAAAAGAGAAAGAGAAAGGAGGAGGAAAATTGCAACCCATAAGAATACAGATCTTATCCATGTGGTCTTTGAAAACAGACTCACCGGAAGAAAGACACAGCCCATTTCTTTGCTTGCTTTTCAGGTGAGAAACGAGGAAAGCTTTTAAACTCTTTTTTCTCCATTCCCCTCACACAGGAGTGAGTGAGAAGCTTAAAATACAAAGGAGTCTTTTGAAGAAGTACCTTTATGTATTCTTTTTTTTTTAACATTTATTTATTTTTGAGAGACAGAGCATGAGTGGGGGAGGGGCAGAGGGAGAGAGAGAGGGCTGTCAGCCCAGAGCTGTACGCAAGGCTCGAACCCACGAACTGTGAGATTATGACCTAAGCTGAAGTCAGACACTTAACCGACTGAGCCACCCAAGTGCCCCCCGCCCTTTATGTACTTACTGATGGCTTGATAGTAAGGCATGAAAAACCTTGCCTTTTTTTTAATGTGGTAAGCTGTACCTAACATAAAGTTTACCATTTTAACCATTTTTAAGTGTTCAGCTTCAGTGGCATGAAGTACATTCACTTTGTTGTGCAACCGTCACCAGTATCTATCTCCAGAATTTCTTTATTATCCCATACTGAAACGCTGCCCACTAAACACTGTTATCCCCATCTTCCAACTACGGGCAACCACCATTCTGCATTTGGTCTCTAGATTTTGATTATTGTAAGTCCTCGTATAAGTGGAGTCATATACTTTATCCTTTTGTGACTGGCTTTTTTCACTTAGCATAACATCTCAAGATTCATCCATGTTATAGCGTGTGTCAGATTTTTCTTCCCTTTTAAGACTGAACAGTGTTCTTTGTATATTCCACATTTTGTTCATTTCTTCATTCATCAATGGACACTTGGGTTGCGCCTACCTTTTGACTGTTGTGAGTAATGCTACTATAAACATGGGGTGCAAATACCTGTTTGAGACCTTGTTTTCAATTCTTTTGGATATTTACAACTGGAATCTTTTGTGGAACTGCCATACCGTTTTCCATACTGGTTCTAATTTCTGCCATCCTGGCCAGCACTTGTTATTTTCTGTGGTTTTTATAAAAGACATTTTAATGTGTATGAAATTGTATCACATTGTGGTTTTGATTTGCATTTCTCTGATGATAGGATGTTGAACATTTTTTCATGTGCTTATTGGCCATTTGTATATCTTCTTTGGAGACTCTGTTTAAGTCCTTTGCCCATTTTTAAACTAGGTTATTTTGTTGTTACTGAGTTGTAGGAATTCTTTATATATTCTAGACGTTAATCTTTTATGAGACAAATTATTTGCAGATACTTTCTCTCATTCTGTGAGCTGACTTTTTACTCTATTGATTGAGTCCTTCAATGTGTACATTTTAAATTTTGATGTAATCCAGTTTACCTATTTTTTTTCTTTTGTGTTTCTTCTGCGTTCTTAATGTCCTGTCAATTGCCTAATCTAATGTTATGAAGCTTTCCCCTGTGTTTTCTTCTAAGAGTTTTCTAATTTTAGCTCCTATGTGTAGGTCTTTGATGATCCATTTTGAGTTAATATTTGTATGATGTAGAGTCCAACTTCTTTTGCATGTGGATATCCAGTTTTCCCAGCACCATTTGTTGAAACCACTGTTTTTTTATATTTAGTAAAAACTCAGTCTTCCTTAGTTTATTGACCTGATGTTACATTATGTAATACCATCTAATATAGATCAATATCTTCTAATATTCTATTAGATCTAATAGAAAATAATAAATATGTATATATAGACACATTTTTAAGTTGAGGCATCAGTAAAGAGTGGTAGATTATTCCCTGGACACAAAGAAAACATGTGTGTGACTTTCAACAATTCATTTGTGAAATGTGCATTGATAAATGTGCATCTTCTTGAAAAATCTCTCTCAAATTAATACTAGATGGATATTTTTGTTTCATCCCTAGGCATGGAAGAGGAGATGGTTTGTGTTACGCAGTGGTCGCTTAACTGGAGATCCAGATGTCCTGGAGTATTACAAAAATGATCATGCCAAGAAGCCTATCCGTATTATTGATTTAAATTTATGTCAGCAAGTTGATGCTGGATTGACATTTAACAAAAAAGAGTTTGAAAACAGCTACATTTTTGATATCAACACCATTGACCGAATTTTCTACTTGGTAGCAGACAGTGAGGAAGAGATGAATAAGTGGGTTCGTTGCATTTGTGACATCTGTGGGTTTAATCCTACGGAGGAAGGTAAGTTCAAGATTTTATTATTCAACCTGAGTTCTCCTTTATTGCTGCATTTTTAGAACTATTATAAAAGTCTTTGTTATTTCAGTTACTCAGTATAATATTTTCTTTTTTATAATAGCTGACACTATTATAAAATAGCTTTAGTTTGGAAATAGCTTTTTTTTTTTTTTTTTTTTAATTTTTTTTTTTTTTCAACGTTTATTTATTTTTGGGACAGAGAGAGACAGAGCATGAACAGGGGAGGGGCAGAGAGAGAGGGAGACACAGAATCGGAAACAGGCTCCAGGCTCTGAGCCATCAGCCCAGAGCCTGATGCGGGGCTCGAACTCACGGACCGCGAGATCGTGACCTGGCTGAAGTCGGACGCTTAACCGACTGCGCCACCCAGGCGCCCCGTGGAAATAGCTTTTGAAGAAGCTTTTGAAGAAGAAGAGAGAGACAGAGCATGAACGGGGAAGGGTCAGAGAGAGTGGGAGACACAATCTGAAACAGGCTCCAGGCTCTGAGCTGTCAGCACAGAGCCCGACGCGGGGCTCAAACTCATGGACCTCAAGATCATGACCTGAGCCGAAGTCAGACACTTAACTGACTGAGCCACCCAGGCGCCCCAGGAAGTAGTATTTCTACATAAATGAAAAAAGGGATGTAGAACCCTCTAGGCTTAGGGGCAAGGGAGAGCAAGGACCCTGAGGTGGAACAGAATCATATGTGACTAGAGCAGGGGGCTGTGAATGATAAAAGTGGGGGTGGGAGGAGAGGAAAGAGAGTTGGTTGAGGCACTGAGTTCTGGAGTATCTGTCCTGGGAAGAACTGAATGATTGAGTAAAGGTCTCATAAAGAATTTTACACGTGGGGGCACCAGGGTGGCTCAGTCAGTTAAGCGTCAAACTTCGGCTCAGGTCATGATCTCACGGTTTGTGAGTTTGAGCCCTGCTAGGGCTCTGTGCTGATAGCTCACAGCCTGGAGCCTGCTTAGGATTCTCTGTCTCCCTCTCTCTCTGCCCTTCCCCTGCTCACCCTGTTCCCCTCTCCCTCTCAAAAATAAATAAACATTAATAAAATTTTTTAAAGATTTTTACAAGCAGAATTCCTCTTCAGGTGCTTATATAGCTGTTTTGACCACTTATTCCCCGTCCACTTCTTTACTTCTCTTACTTTGACAACAAACACATATCTAGGGGACCCCAACACAAATTTAGGTCTGTAAACCCAAAAATCAGAAAGAAAGGTGCCCTCAGGTCTTTGAACTTAGCATCTTCATGGTTATACTGCCATTTACAGTGTGCATTTCCAAATATCTATATTTAGGAGTGTTGGGGTTTCAGTGAGGGCTGGAAAAATTGCGTCAACAATCAACATCAAGTTTTGAATTGAAGTGAAACAGCAGTCATCTCTAATTAGCTCAGGTCAGCATGCTGCTTCCTCTCTGGCCAGTCAGCAGCCCACAAGGAGGAGCCTTCCAGGGCTGGGATTGGCCCAGTGGGGTGGGGAAACCCCTTGGTGAGAGAATCCAGAATCCTGAGAGGGAGCAGCACTGAAACAGGCAAGGAGGCATCCAGTTTAGACAGGAGGTGGCTGATGAACTAGAGCTTTTCAGCAGAGTTCTAGTGATTAAAAGCCTCAAGAAATTGTTTCACCTGTGGAATTAAGCTTTAGTGGTTTTTGTGAAATTACTAATAAGTATGTTCACATTTAAGTGCGTGTGGAGGTATGACTCCTAACTCCAGTTAAACTCCTTTCCATTCTTGCATATAAGGTCTATATTTGAGTGCAGTAGAGGATTTTTGGGGCGCCTGGGTGGCGCAGTCGGTTAAGCGTCCGACTTCAGCCAGGTCACGATCTCGCGGTCCGTGAGTTCGAGCCCCGCGTCAGGCTCTGGGCTGATGGCTCGGAGCCTGGAGCCTGTTTCCGATTCTGTGTCTCTCTCTCTGCCCCTCCCCCGTTCATGCTCTGTCTCTCTCTGTCCCAAAAATAAATAAAAAAACGTTGAAAAAAAAAATAAAAAAATAAAGTTAAAGTCACAAATAAGATAGCTCTCTAATGGCTGTTTAATGACCATGCAGTAATGATAATTTTTGGATTAAGATACCACATTAATTTCATTATGTGATGGATTTTCAGTTAAAATAGTTTAAGTCCTTGTATACGCTTTTTGGTGATGACTTTCTTTTCAATTTAGATTTTGTTTTTAGGGACATAAAAGTAGACTTCTGTCTTCATCGGTTGCCTGTATAGATTTAGTTAATCTGAAAGACTAAGTAGTAGGGATTCTTCCGTCTCTTTTTGTTTTCTGTATAATTCTCCTAAATATATTACCAAAGGAAATGAGATACCCTCCAAGAGGAGATACATTCTTCAGTCAAGGAATATGTCTAATTTTTGGAAGCCCTTTCAGGGGTGGGTAGAGTTGAGAACCCCCAAAATAAGAATTTCAAATGCACAAGTATCTGAGATTAACTTTGTGAGTTTCAAGGTGTGGAGTCTGGTCCATTTGTCCACCTTAGAATGACTCTCATCTCATCATCTGGAAGTTTGATGAACACCCAGTCATCTCTGGGAAGAAGGAAGGTTTTATCTGTTTTGGAAATTGATTCATTAATTTACCAAATTACTGAATTTGCCAGCACTCTACTAGGCTTTGGATATTCGTTCAACCTATATATTATTAGGTGACTAGTTAGGGGGACAAATGGCAAACATTACAGATGTGGAACTGAGCGTCTAGTGGAGAAGGATTCATACTCAGAATAATAATTCATTACAGTTGATGAGTGCAAGATACATAATGTGTGTGGAAAAAATATATATATAATATATATAATTTATATATATATTAATTAATTATATATATATTATATATATTAATTAATTAATATATAATAATTATATATAATATATAATTTAATATGATTATTAAAGTATGATTATATACATATATCAAAGTATGAAACTATGAGACTGTGTTAATACAGCTCTTGCCCTCATAGAGCTTATAGTCAGTCTAACAGAGACAGGAAAATAATCTAAGAATTATAATATTGTTAGATAAGTGTCCAGTTAAAGAAAAAATAAATAAGCATAGATAGCAGTTAATTTAGTTTTAAGAAGGTCAGGAAAAGCATAGGTAGTTTTAAATGGCTCTGTACTATAGCTGATAATGTACCGAGAACTTTATTTTATACTTAGTGAAACATTTTCATTGTATTTGTAGTCATAATCAGTCACAATGTCTGTTTTTTGCTTCATGAACTTACCAATATAGGGAGGGGCGCAAACTCCCAAATCCTTTTAAAATAGATTAGAAATGCATTTGTCTAGGGGCGCCTGGGTGGCTCAGTCGGTTAAGCGTCCAACTTTGGCTCAGGTCATGATCTTGTGGTTTGTGAGTTCGAGTCCCATGTCGGGCTGTGTGCTGACAGCTCAGAGCCTGGAGCATGCTTCGGATTCTGTGTCTCCCTCTCTCTCTGACCCATCCCCTGCTCATGCTCTGTCTCTGTCTGTCTGTCTCTCTCTTTCTCAAAAAAAAAATTAAAAAAAATTTTTTTTTAAATACATTTGTCTTGAATGAAACTCTTAATTTGTGAATGTTTTATCTTCACAATATCAATAAAAGGGGAGGTTGTGAGAAAATTTCCAGTATTGTTAATCAAATTTGATGCATATAATGAGTTGGTTACCACAAACAGCTGTACTAATCATAACTCACTTTTATTTGTTCACATAACAGGCCGCTAAGGACTTCAATTTGCCAGTGATTTCTAAGTGTAGTTCATGAGCTATATCTAAATGCAACTACATTTGTTTTTTTAAGTTCTACAATATAGAATTTTTTGCAAGTTCATCCTGGCTTTCTCCCAAATAGCCACAATTAGAAATGTCTTACTATGATGTTGAAGACTTGAGTGTCTCATAAATTATGAACTTGTAAATAAATTAGTAGGTCATATATCAGTGAAAGATGAATAGTCCTTCATTGTGTAGTATCTAGGAGCCACAAAAAATTTTTCTCTATAATTTTGATTTTTCATGCATGGTAGCAAAACTGCAAAAACACTTCAAAGTTAACCACTGCATTTTATTCATTGGTAGTAGCTGACTTTGCTAGATGCCTTAACAAAAATCTACACATTTAAAGATTCAAACAGCAAAGAACTGCTATTATCTTTTGTGATCACAGTCATACAATTTAATATGACAAAGTAAATATCAGAATGTCTTTGTTCTTCCATTTGCTTTACCACCTGCTTTATATTCTCTTGCTTCTAAATAGATCTCCCCACCAATCACTAAATAATAGGTGTTTTTGTTTTTACCTAGAATCTGTCCCCTGAGCCCTGTGCTCTTCCCATTTCAAAGTTGAGTATGCTCTTACTCTTGGCTTAAAACTAATGACACGAAATCATTTTTCCCTATACTTGTGTCAGGCAAGATGTGGGAAGAAATATCCTATGCTTGGGTATTACAGTCTGAGAAAATAACTATCCCCAGTCCCTATGAGAATAACTACTTTTTGCTGAAAACAAAAGGAAAGGGGAAAAATCTGACCTGTGTTTTGATTCCAGGAACCTCTCAAAATATCGTTACCATGTTATTTCCGCTGCCCCAGGTGACCACTGCTATTATTGAATACTCAGAATGCTGGCAAGCTGAATCTGTTTTTAAATTGTAGCTCATTGAACTGTGTGCGGTTCCTATGAATGCTTTTATTTAGCAGATTTGAGGGTAGAGACTAATTTCTTTTGTTTTTCTTGGAAATGTGCAGATTTATTTTTGTTTCTACACCAAGGTGGAAGCTGTTAAATCTGCTTAACAAGTGCCAGGAAACACAGCCTAAGGGCTCTAAACAGCTAACTAACTTGGCGCAAAGGCTCCTGGTCTAATTTCAGGGTGCAAGATTAGAAAGTTGCCTCTTATCAATCAGTTGAGTTGCTTTTCTTAAAGTGCCCAGATAATAGTGGCTTAAAAATAGTCACTGTTTGATATTCTTCCCTTTAGAAAAG